GAGCGAGTGAGCATGGAGGAGCGATGGAGAAGGAAATCGATTCAAACCTCCCGTCGCCGTCGCCGTCGCCGTCGCCGATGGGGAAGGACGCACGATGAGGGTGCGATGGAGACAGTCTGAGAATGGAGGAGCGATTGCAAATGGATTCTGAGCATTGGAGGAGCGAGTGAGCATGGAGGAGCGATGGAGGGTAGATTAGTAAAAAAAAAGTCTGTTCCACTTAGTTCCAGGGGTAGAGGTAGAACACCCGTGTCCCATGTGTGTGCAAGTTAGTTCCAGTTAGTTCCACTTAAAAACACACCAAACGTGGGACAAGTGTGTTCTGTCCTGTCCTGTTCCACCCTGTTCCACGTACCAAACGCACCCTAAGGTTGCGTTTGGTATATGGGATGGGACAGGACAGGACGGGACAAAACTCACTATCCCAGTCCAGTCCTGTCATGTCCAGTTCTACTCTCTTGTCCTGTCTTGTGCTGTTCAATTATGTCTGCGTACCAAATGCTATCTAAAGGAATCGGGAATAACAATAATTTAAAAATCATCTATTAAATGAATTAAAAAAGGTATGTACGAAAATGGCCGGATTAACGGGAGAAAAGATAGAAAATTTTCAAAAACTATATAAATTATGCACCAACCTGTTCGGAATATGTTTTCTTTCCATACAACTAATTTATTGATTTGAAAATAAAAGGTCAAATATAAGTAACCAATGACCGTACAAATCTTATGTCTCTTTTTTTCTTTTAATTTCTAATTTGTTAAGTATTAGTTGACCCACCAACGATCGTCGGCTCATTCATAATCGTATTACAAAAACAAATTAATTAACAATTATTTTTATGATAACAAAAATTAATATTTAATTAGTTTTTCTTGAAATTTAATATTTTTATGATAAATTTTTTTTAATATTTAACTATTTTTTTTATTAACCTGAATATCTAACCTGCTATACAAGCCGACTAATCTCATGGCGACCACCTGCAAACCGGAGTCACCGCATTTGAACTTCTGTGGCCCGGATGAGATTTTTATTTCTCCTTGAATTTGAACCTGGAACCTCCAGACATTTTTGACCTTTGGAGCTCAAGCTCAAACCAATCAAGCGTCACCATTGTGGTTCACAAACTCATTTTTTTCCAACAGAAATTGTAAAATAACTTTCATATTGAAGAAAACATTTTCTCCAAAGGGATCAAAAAGATGCTTAAGGTAATGAGAAAGCCATGATTGGGAACACGATGGCCGAAAATTTTAAGTTCTTTTGTTATATATAACTAGGGCTGTAAATAAACCGAACGTTCAGTGAACCGTTCGTGAATCGTTCGACGGGAACTTTGTTTATGTTCGTTTATTTAATAAACGAACGAACATGAATAATTTTTTTTGTTCATTTAGTTAAACGAACGAACATGAACAAGAGTCTCGTTCGTTCATTTACCGTTCGTTTACTTTCATTTATATTCGTTCGCTTAGATATTAAATTTAATATATAATCTTTTATTTATTTACTTTGAATTCAAATAATATTTATTTATGTTAATTTAGCCCGTTCGTTTATGTTCGTTCGTTTACACTCGTTTAGCATGTTAACAAACGAACACGAACACACTTGATTTTTAAATGAACGAACACGAACACACCTGATTTTTAAACGAAC